ATCTTATCCAATGGGAAAGCATCATTGGATAGGATGAATGCATCATGATCCCAATTCCAAGTCAACTTGTAGGTTTCTCACACCCGAGCTTGTCGATCGATCATGAATCAATCGTAATCCAATCCAACTCCTTTGCTCATCTCTAAACAAGGAAGAAAGGACTCATCTTCTTCTCTCCTCTCTTTGATGCATTGAACCAAACATTTCTTTGGGCACGAAGGAGTAGTTCTTGTTGAACACCAACTCATGAAGTCAAAATTGGATTGCAGGGGTTGACATTTATGTTCTTCTTTTCATAATTATCATTATCATTGTTGTTGTTGTTACTATCATATTTTTCTAAAATATCATATTTGTTATTACATTTTTTGTGTGAATACATATATGCTATTCTTAACAGGTCATTTAAGTTAATGATACTTTTGATCAAATATCTTAATTTGAGTGGGTTGGATCAAGTATTTCACATAGAGAAAAAAAAAAAACACAAAACAAAACATAATGTAATGAAGCATAACTGAATTGGGTTATGGAAGTGGCTTATGTTGCATGTACTGATAACCTACTAATAAGCTTAAGTCTTATATTATATTGATATCTAATTTGATATATAATTGTCACGATCGAAGCTAAATAGATTCACTAATCTATCAATTTTATTTTAATCTAAGAACTTGATATGGTGCATATGAGACGTAACATAATAGTAACTCTAACAAGTGATTCCATCCGTAGATAATCTTTTTCCGCTCAAAACTCTCTCATCCTATCATAATACTGTATCGATTTTGCTACTGAATGTTACAACTGTAACGTAGCCATGTAGGCAAACTGATTTATCAACTTCCTTTTAATTTTAAACCATTTATTAAGATATTTAAGTTGAAATTGATATTAGTATACGTATCGGATCATTATAAGTCAATCTTAGTCTTATCTACTTTCAAAATTAATCGAAGTATTATAATAATAATTCTATTTCAAATATTATAGTAAAGTGAACTTATTTTAAAACATCAAAAAAAGAATAATATTAATGGAGCTTACATAATAGGCTTTTGACATTTGATTAGTATAGTTCTAAATCCACTTGCATTTCTTTCTTATTTATTTTCTGCGAAATGTATTAAATTGAACCAAAACTCTCCAACAAACAATTTAAATAAAAATTATGCACAAGAATAGAGTATTTTTGATATCTCATTTTAATGAATAATATATTGAGAAAAAGAGAAACATGTGAAAGAGAAATTGAAGATGTAACACTAAATCGAGGTATTATTTTGATTTAGTAGTCATGTGTCGATTCTACTATCCCGATCATATAACAACTGACTTAGTTAAATGAAGCTACGACGATGTATCAAATTCATCTTGTGATGTTTTCAATTAGTTGAGTGTCGAGTTAATATAATGTGATATCGACTTAATATCACAAATATATCTCGAAGAAAAATGATATCTTTTGATGAGCTCCATAATTAACTTTTATTAGTGAAAATTCTTTTAGACATGAGAAATTGAACATTTTATAAAGCATTAGGAAAGACTCATCCTTGTCTATTCATTGGTACTAAATATGATTTTATTGGAATTAAAATCTTAAAATACTAAACTCAAGCTATAGTGTATTTATTTGTATATAAAATTAATTATTTTATCAAGCACAACAAGATTATCATAAATAACTTATATTTATGACTAGTTTTGTGATATAAACTAAAATAATTAATTGTAAATCTAATTACATCCCTCCGGTTTATCATTTGATTTGTTTGCAAAAAAAAAAATCATTCACCATAATTTTTATTTATTTTTCAAGACCTTAAACAAAAAATATATATTTTTCACTAAATCATACAAAATCATATGTTTCTGTTTGATTTAATATAGCATCAATACCACCATAATGGATTCCCTATTGTACTTTGTATGTGCACCAATCATCACCTTGGTTTAGTTTGGTAAACAATTATATACAAATATATTCATCTCTAAAGTAAATGATTTTAATATTTATCCTTTTAAATTTAACACATATTTTCCTTAAAACCTAAGTACTTTACATATATGCCCTCGCGGTTAATCTTCATTGTAGAATAGAAAATTCTAAATTTTATTAAATTTTATTCAACCTTTAGAAACCTCTATTATGATTAGAAGTAATTTATGACCAATAGTTTGCATGAGTTAGCTATTGATATGATGTTTGGATGGACATATACTATAATAGAATATGTAGAGGTAAATATGTCATTTGGAACTTGTGGAAGGATAGATATGTAAAAGTACCTCAGACATTCTTAGATAAGTTTGATCCCATAATCTCCCCTCAAATCATGCGCCAATCACCCCACAAGATAATCAACCAATCATTTTATGCCACGCAAGAGAATATAGACCCTGTAGCAGGCAGTGGCTCCCTCGTAATAACAGAAAAAGCTCGTCCCCTTTATTCGAACCTGACCAGTTTCGTCGACGCTTCGAGGCGGCCTATAAATACCACCGCCCACTGAGCTTTGTTCTCTTGAGAATTTTACCTCTCCGCCCGAAGGGGCTCTTCCAAACCCTAATGGCCCAAGAAATCATGGACCAAACCCTAGAGGCCATCGAGAGTTGCCGATCGCCGCCGGATTCCTCCACCCCATCCCCATCCCTCTCCCGTGCCCTCTCGTCCAGCCGCCTCAACGCACGGGCTGCCGAGTTCGTCCCCCGCGGCGCGCAGCCCCCTGCCCCTGCCCCGGCGCCGATCCACCACGGCCACGCTCCCGCGGCGAATCCGGTGATGCACGTCTTCCACCAGCCGCAGCCAATATCGGCGTACTTCGGTCCAGGGCCTGGTTCGTTTGAGTACTATGGTGGTGGGGCTGCTGGCGGGTTTGGAGAGCACGAGGGAGGAGGGCAATCGAGTGTTGATCCGGATCCAAGCTATACGGCTAGGGATGGTCTCTCGGATGAAGTTGTCCAGAAGATCATTAAGCAGGTCTGTGCTTTTTTCACTCAAATTTCGACATTAATTTTCTAGTGAGGTACTCGATAAAATTCAAATGATTTTTGGGTGGTGGAATGTGAGGTCCTTTGTCGGAACTGTAGAAGATGAACTGATCCGTCAGCTGAAGCTTCGTTAATAGTGCATTATCTTTAAATTAGATTGTGGAATGTGGCCCATGATATGACTGAAAAACGAAACAAAGACTGAGTGGGGTATGTTATTATATCTGCAAGTGAACCTTGCGATTGATGTTCTCCGCAACATAGAAATATGAAAATTGATTATTGTCTTATAGATACATGTTGTTGGCTGAGGACGAGAAGGGATATTGATGTAGGAATTAAGGTGATGAATCGCTAGAAGGCTCACCTCTTTTAAACATGGTTATAAAATTTGCTTGATACTGGTTTTGATAATCTATCAGATCAGCGTGGTAGCAGTGTACCATGCGGTTTACTATGCTGTTCAATATTAGTCTAATAAAATAATAATGATCGACAACTTAGATTACACAATGATTCTGTCTTTTCTTTTTTGAACTCCCAGTGTGACATATCATGTGTAGTTCTATATCAGATGTGGAAGGTCAATCGAGTTCATTTATATGGCCATAGCAAGCCTAGTGGTTCAGACATATCAAGCTATATGGGCTAGTTATCTTATTGTGTCAAGTCATAACAAATGATGTCAGAACAAATTTATTATTGGGCATGGTGACGAGTCTTAAGGGAGAGTTATATGTGGATGAGGCTGGAGCACATTACAGTGTGGAGCCACTTCTGTATGGCTTCACATGCATTGTACTGGTGTTTGAATCTGGATTATGATTTTGGTCTTGATGAGGGTGTCAAACCTTAAGTGGAAGAGATTATGATATTCCATGTTTAATCACATCTATTTATTTGGTTTATAAAGTTAGAGTAGGTCTACTACCATTAACTTGTGCTAAGTATTTTGGGATAGTGGTTTGGTTCTATCAATGGGTTAGTTATACTATAGGATCAGACTAGGACATTCATCTCACATTGTTCATTTGGATAGATAGTGTGCTTGCACAAACACATTAATTCTGCACCTTCTAACTCTTTTCATGCTGGATTTTGTCATGTGACAATGATTGGCATTTAAAAGTGAATCTGCTTTGCTTGTCCTTGATGTTCTTAACGCAACAAGATTAATAATCACACTTGGTTGGACCTTGTTTTGTACAAAATGAAAGTTAAATGACATTGCTTTAAGATAATTTATGTTGTCTTTTAAGGTAGTTGATATTTCATTGGACAATACCCTTCTTCCTGCTTATGAATTTCTGATTTTCGAATGATGGTATGTATGCAAAGAATCTCAGTATTGTTAAGTGATTATAATTTTAAAATGTAAATTATAATCTAAAGACACTATTGTCTTAAATCTTTAACTCTCAAGTATATTGTTGTACAGATAAAGGTTCTGTAGATAGAATTTACTATTTGAGTTTCTCATGCTGTATTTATAGAGATTGTTCTCCATGACTGTCGGATGGTTGGCTAATTACTTGACAGACATGGTCCTGGAATTTTCTAAAAGCCATCTGAGCCTTGGCATCCTTTCCAACGAATGAGTCCAAACAGCACCTCATTTGGTCATGGTTAACCCAGAAGGGCTTATTACAGCAGTGTCTCATGTATTTTGCATACTGATGTGGGATATACTGCCTTTTATACCATCTGTATATCACATCATAAACTGGGAACACATTCTAGTAAGTTGACTGCAAAGATTTTAAGTGAAAATAAGTCGATCAATTGCCATTAAGGGCTGTGATTTTGGATGTGCCTTTATTTGTGTAAAAAATAATTTAATAAAAAGAATTATCAGATGCTAAATAAGATTGTTATGTGTGGTAGATAGGTAGTGGTTTTTAACTCTTATAACAAAAATCTTGACCTGTTGGATCTCCATGTCCTTCCTCAGATAGGAAATCCATTACACTCTCTGATTTATTATAATAAAAGGAGAATGTTGTCATATGAAAGAGTTGAAATAAGTAAAACAGTTATTTTTAAGAGAGCAACGATGATGAAGCAATGATATTTTGTAGAAAGGTTGGGAAGAAAAACATTGGATAAATGGGAAGGGTGAGCATAGGAGAGTGGAATGTGTTAACTCAGATGTTATTTAACCATAAATTCCAGAGACTGCTGTTGGGAAGGACGAATACATTGAATAGATAGAGTCCGATTCAGGGTCCAACTTGTATATATTGCTTTTTTCCAGGTTCGTGCTGTGTACACTGTATTTGTCTGTAATGCATCAAAATTACGATATGTTGTACAATTTTGTTTTTATTTTATTTTATTTTATTCTTTTGGGTTGGTGAGGGGCATTGAGGATTTATAATTTCTAATATTGTATTATGATACCATCGCCTGATTACATGTGCTTATTAGAAGAGCATAGTCTTACAAAGTTGATTGACACTTTATGATTGTCCAAATTTCAGATAATCATGATATCCATGGAGTGTTTGAGTTGAAATAGATGACAATGGATTTTTGTCTGCTGTTGCAATAAATTATATTGTTTATTTCTTGCTATTTTCACAAAATTATGCCTTTCCAGTCAATTTCATACATTGTCTTACACTCTATTATCTGATCTAACTTTTCTTTTTCTTTTTCTTTTCGAAACCTACAATTTTATTATGGACAGGTCGAGTATTATTTCAGTGATGCAAATCTTGCTACAACTGAACATTTGATGAGATTTATTACCAAAGATCCTGATGGGTTCGGTAAATATTCTCTTGTTGGCCATTCAAGCTTGTTATTTTTAGTTGACTTTTATTATGATCTAATGTTAAGACTTTCATATTTTTATTTTTTTCTCAATAAGGAACATGTCTTGTTTAAAGATGCTGGTCCTAACAATGCTAATCATGGAAGTAGAATGTGAGGATGAGTGACTAAGATGCAATATGGACTTGAGTTTCAATGAGTCATGCATATCCATGAGCAATATATGCTTTAAACAGCATTGTAGTTGGCTAAAATCCTGGGATTTTAAGGTTTCAACTTGGCTGGGTTGGTTGAAGGTCAACCATTATTGTAACTAATCCAGTGCAATGTGGGTTGCTGAGACTTGCTTGATGTGAGACCAACCCGAGTTGCAGTTCTAATGTTGATTAATTAAATAGCTGCTGTAAGAGAATGTTCGGAGTTTTTTCTTTGTTGGACAGAGTTTTCGGTTTGGGTGAATCGTATAATATCTGCCTGCACAGAGATCTATTGGCTTGAAGGTGTATTCTGTGCTTGCAGAATATTAAGTTCAACTGGCAGTCTCCTAGACATCTAAGGAGGGGTTTGCAAATGTAGCACATTAAAACTTTAAATTATAGTTGCAAAATATTAAGTTCAAGTCAAATCCTGGACAATTGTTGGTTGCAAAATGAGCAACCTTACCAGTGTACCAGGGCTCACCCTCTTTCAACATAAATGGATCCTTTTAATAGTTACTATAATATTTTAAAATTAAGAGAGTAATTGATGGCTGTTCAATTTCTCATCTACTTCCTCTAGGTGTTAAATATTTCTTACTATAGTATTCTAGAGTCTTTATTGAATTGTGCTTGCAAGTTGCAACTTAATGGGTCCTATTAAGAAGTTGCTATAATGTCTCATATGGCATTGTTAAATAGCATTGACCGAACAAACATTTTTATTGCTGAAAAATGATGGATAATTATGTGTTGGCGAATGATGAATGCTTAGTCACCTAGAAAGGCATAATTTGTGTGTCAACATTATAATTATTGGTTAGATTACTGTATTTTGGAATCAATTGCTCATTTATTAAATTGGACAAAAAATATTGTTTTTTTTAAATAGTAAAGCTGCAGTTCTGCAAGTAGCACTTTTTTTTTGAGGATCTCTTTTTATTATCAGATGATCAGAAATTGAACGATCGAGAAGTTAGAAAAATTGTCCAAATAGTGATTGTCTGATTATTTAATTAAATCCTTTTCTTCTGTGCAGTACCAATATCAGTTGTTGCAGCTTTTAAGAAGATTAAGGCCTTAGTCCACAACAACTTCCAGCTTGCTGTGGCGCTTCGTACATCAACAAAACTTGTGAGTACTTCTAACATGCTTGTTTAACGCACACCATTTATAATGATTTCGTGTCGAACCTGTCTATGCTTCTATAGCTCTTTGAACTCATATATATACTTGGACTAGGGTATAGTTGTACTGCATGATTCAGCCTTATATATCTGCCCTGATTATAGATGTCATATATATGGTATTATTTGTCCCAATTATAATTCTCAAACCACCACTAACACTGTGATTGTCACCACCGCCATAGATGCCAACCATTGGTCAATAACATTATCGATGCCATCACTATCATCACCACTGGTGGTCATGGTTGGCCATGGTCACCAAGGCTCTAAATGATTGGTCCCAATTATAATTCTCAAACCACCACTAACACCATGATTGTCACCACCATCATAGATGCCAACCATAGGTCAATAACATTATCGATGCCATCACTATCATCATCACTAGTGGTCATGGTTGGCCACTGTCACCAAGGATCTAAATGATTGGTCAAACTGGAATGTGTAAGCTGATGTTTATGGCTTCCGCTGAGTATTGGCAGTGCAACATATAACTTGATACAGGTATAATGTTATTTTATTTTAATTTTTATTATTTTATTATTTTATTATTTTATTCAATGATATTGAGTATACATCGGTATCATAGTCACTGTCACCACCACCACTGTCATTATCGCTACCACCACAATCACCTATTATTGTCGCTGGCATTACTGCAAGTGGCATTTGTTAATGAGTAGGTTTTCTGAAGATTTATTCCACTAGAAAAGAACTCTAAAGCTTAGATATCTAATGTGACCAAATGTATTCACAAATATGAAGAACTATTGATTTTTTCTTTCAAAATTCCTCTCCCAGAAAGGAGACTTAATACCAAACATGCCCTGAGTATGCCTGATTTGAGTCAAATTACAGGTTGTGAGTGATGATGGGAAGAAAGTTAGGCGCCAACAGCCTTTTACCGAATCAGACTTGGAAGAGTTGCAGGTGAGATTCAGTCAGTTCTGTATTGAGATATTTTGTGACTTTGTGTGGTTTAATTGTGATCACAATCAATCTTGTTTCTCTTTTAGTCCCGCATTGTCGTGGCCGAAAATCTGCCTGAGGATCATTGTTACCAGAATCTTATGAAGATTTTCTCAGTTGTTGGCAGGTAGAGTATCTGATAGTTTGTAAATGCTATACGGAGTTTCCTACTAAATAACTTGAATAATGTTCTGTAGTGTAAAGACAATTCGCACATGCTATCCTCAGCCCTCCAATGGAACAGGTGCTGCAACTAATAGACCAACAAAACTAGAAATGCTTTTCGGTAACAGAGTATGTATCCGTTTCTGTTGTTCTCATTGTGTAATTGATAAACACATTTTTAATGTGACTCGGCTTGCTTATTTGGTATTGGTACTTGCACATGGTTTATCTTTAGCTCTCTATGCTTTACATTATTTTCAATTTCAAAAAATTTTCCCTGGATTTCTCTGCCAACGTTTTTGTAGTAAGTAAAATCATTCTGTAACTAGAATCTTACCAATATAATGTCTCTGAAAAATGAGAAACGTATCTTTTTCATGATCCTGCTGTTAAAAGGCAAATGATGCTCATATTTATTGAACCATGGTGCTTGATGTAACAAATTGTGTTGTTGGACTGTGAGTAGCTTGTTAAATTTTCTTGTTCATCACATGGACATGTGGGAATTAAGGTATAAAATCTTTATTCGATGATATTTTGAGATGTGGTTTAATTATTTCTTTGTAGTTGCATGCATTTGTGGAGTATGAGACTGTTGAAGATGCTGAAAAAGCAGTAAGTTTGATGAAATCAATTTAGCACATTTTTTAAACTGCAATCCTCTGAGTATGTTGTTCTTTTGGCATGCAGGTTGCAGAACTCAATGATGAAAAGAACTGGAGGAGTGGTCTTAGAGTTCGATTGTTTCCTAAATTTTTGGTAAATTTAATAATCTTTTCTTTCACACTTTCCTCGCACTGGCTTTCCTACTCAGACATAAAACCTTACCCTTGTAAAGTAACTTGGTCTTCATCATTTTCCAAATTACCTTAGCCAGCGGGTTGGTTTTGTGTATGCAATGCTTTATACCTCTTGGATGTCTCGTTTGTGTGCATGCACTTGCAAGAATTTTAAAAACTATTGGTGGTGTGAGCGATAAGTGAGAGGAATATGAGAGGTAACAGGTAGCACTTTTAAACTGCATTTTTGTTTTTAGGTAAACATTTTGCAGACTCATTGAAGAGAACTTTGTTACAGTGACATATACACAATCTTAATGTAACTGTTTAATACAGCATGAGATTGGAAATTAGTAATTCTGCTGATTTAGTCTGTATATGGCCATGAAGAGGATTTTCTGTAATGTACTAGACTTATAGAGGAAAATTTCTTACTTTTTGTAGGTTCTTGCTAACTTTGCAAATTTAGGTTGGATTTGAAGATTCAATAAAAAAATTGTTTTATTTATTTATATCTATTTTTAAGCTTTTAACTTCAGTCACCGGTGGTCACTTTTTGAAATTTATTCACACTTAGCTTAGCTTAGCTTGGTCAAATCTTACATGAGATTTGGGTTTCTAGAAATAATGTCTCTTTGACCAAACACTTCTGATTCTTTATTTGTTAGATCTTATCTAGTTACTTTGCAAAGAGGAATACTGACCTGGAATTACAGTCTTCACCTGTATTATTTGAAATTTCTGTTAATGTTCTTGCATGAGGTATTAATCTTTTCATGTTGTAAGTGGTGACTCTGATATCTGCATCTTCAATCCAGACAAAACATGGGCAGGGTCGAGGGAGAAAAGGGTCTGAAACTGATTTCACTGGAGAGGAGGATGTCTCCACATCCAACCAGTCAAATGAGAAGCAGGTTGAGGATGTCTATCACCTATCTGAAGTGTCACATGAGCATGAGGTAAGAATTCTTGCACCATGTTGTTCTTGGTTTTTATCTGAAGTATCCATGTTTCCTGGTTCTCTCTCTCTCTCTCTCTCTCTCTCTCTCTCTCTCTCTCTCACACACACACACACACACACACACACACCTGCATGCGCGGGCACGACTTCTGGTTAAAGTTTATCTATGAGTTATTTTTGGTCTACCTTAGTACTCTCTCTCCCCTATAGTACAAATAAAGCCATGTTTTCAGTCAAGATTAGAGTTCTGCTGCAGTTCAAAATCTCAATATTACTCCAATGTCCTTTTTTCTAAGGCAGCTCAGATGTGTTCCCTTGAACAGAGCGGGGAGAGCTACAGTGACAAGGATGGAGCACTAAGGCGGGGGAGAGGTCGCGGCCGTGGAGGGCGAGGACGAGGCCGTGGCCAGCATCACAGCAACAACCGTGGTGGAGGTCTAGCATTCGGCACTCCACCTTCCACCCATCTGAACCATCCCGAGCGTGACCAGTCTGTCGTAGCAACCAAGCAGCCTCCTGGTCCTCGCATGCCAGACGGCACAAGAGGATTCACCATGGGTCGGGGGAAACCAGTAGCCCCAGCAGGTGCGGTCTAAAGACCTTTCTATTAGTGTGTTCGTTCTTTGTATTTGTTCTCGATGTGTATGTTAATAGTCGTCCTCGTGAGCCAATTTGCTGTGTTTGGTGTTAGTGTTGTTTCTGGATACACGTATGTCCAGTTATATTAGAGGGCGGTTTGGACCTGCTTTTGGGGCTCCTTTCCGGGTCTCAACTCTTCTCCTCCACTTTGGACGGTCTGGTGTCAAGAAAGGAAAACACTATAGTAAAAGACAAATCTTGCTATATTCTAATAAAGCTTCACGAGTCAAAATAGGTATTGAACTTATGATATATCAAATCACAGAAAATTCGAATTATGGCTTGAAATCGATTTACATGTATTTAGTTTGGATGCTTACTCTTGTATCTTAACTCATTTCAAAACCGATTCGAGGAATCTTGTGCTCGCTCCGTTTAAATTGGCCAAACCGATCTTATTATTTGAGAAAAAAAAAATCTTAGTTCTTATTAGGTGTTAAAACATTTCTGTGCCTTTAAAGTTTATGATTTTGTTTTACATTTTTAAATTAAGGGTTACCACATATCCCAAGCTCAACAACTCACACAAATAGCATTGTAATTAATACTTCTTAATTGATTGTTGCTATAATGAAGTTGAAACTCGAAAACGACACTAAAAAATAATTCATATAAATATGATAGCATATACGAAGCATTTGAACATTTGAAGGGATGCATAACAATATTAAATTTTAGAGGCTGCCAAACGTCGTAACAAATTTCCGACTCCATCTTGGACCCACTTATGATTACAAAACCACGACTGAGCCTTCAATTTTGTCACTCGCGCCCGTCAGCTTCAAGACGAGGCTCCAAAATCCAAATCCCTCCCCTCTCTCTTCCTCCACAATAAAACAAATCCTCATTCTATCTCCGATTCCACTTCTCGCCCTCTCCGCCCCACCCCCCCCTCATCATCTCTCCATGGCTGACTCCGTCCCTTCGATCCCTAGCCCTAACTCTGCTACTATTATTCCTCTTTTACCACCACCGCCGCCGCCGCCGCTAGCGCCCCCGCCGCCATCATGCCATCCTTCCGACCAGAGCCGCGCCGGTGGCGGCCGATTCTCGTCGTTTCGCTGCCCGGCTATGCGGGTGACGTCTGAATTCGACAGCGACAGCTCCGTGTTCTTCCACAAGGTCTCCTGCAAGCTCTTCGACAACCTGGGCAAGCTCAAATTCTCCTTCCAGAACGACCGTGGTGGCCAGATCGCCAACCCCCAGCTCGGTTTCCTCACCAAGCACTTTGGTGTACTCTACGACCTCGAGTCCCGCAATGCTCTTCTTAAGGGGTCCTTCGATATCGCCAACTTCTTGCAAGTCCGCGCCACCCACGATGTCAAGGTTTACTAGTTTTGTTCCTTTCCTCATTGCTTCCATTGTTATTAAAACTATTCTTGTTGCAATCGTTTTTTATGGTACTGACTAAAATATACTTTCTTCATTTACCTATTACTTCTCGATTGGAGTAATTTCTCTTATAGTAATAATTATCGTGAAGAGTTTGGATTGGATAGGTAAATTTAGTTGTTGATGTTTGGACATATTGAGCTATATAAACGACAGACAGACCCCTTTGCACATATTGGATCACTTTGTTTCATGTTTCTGCAGCCACAAAGGCCAATGCTCTTGCGAAGACTAAGGCAAATGTTGAAACTGAAACGTAGTGTGAGTCAGAGTAAGCACCATATAATCAGTGAGGATGAGTGTTTTTTTTCTACGGGCTAACATTTTTGTTTGAGGTACATTCAAAATATGGGGTTCTTTTTTTTTGCTAGTTATAGTTAGGTTCTCCTTCAGGATGAGCCACCTTTGGAACATACTGGTTGTTCTGCAGTCATTCAACTGCTCTAATTGGGTTGTTCCTGCAAAGTAATTCATTTAAAGTCTTGGTATGAAAATGGCTTCAATCTAAGAAAGTTGTATCAGGTTGTCCTCTTCATTGGCTATATAACATCTTCTCTTGGTAACAATTAGCAAGACAAACATTTTGTTTTTTTTCTTACTGTTCATGTGTTGTTAGAATTTTATTTTTCATTTATTCATGTTGCTTTCCTCTGACATACTGAGATCTTTATTCCTTATTTTTTATCCAATCAACTGGGTGAGGAAGATTGCCATCCAATTCATAACAGGCCATGATTCTTGAAACTTAATGTTATTGTATATTTTTTAATGAGTTTCCAGTTTGTGTTTCTACCGAGTCATCATAGAAGGGACCTTCTAGTCAGGTGATGGTTTATATAATGAGAGTCCATTTCGCTACAAAAACAGGTTAGAGCTTACATGCATGATTCCTTGCAGCATTCAAGATAGCTTGATGATTTTCTCTTTTTCCTCTCTTGTTTGATTTTCAATATTTCCATCTCTTCTTTTTCCCTAGGAACTAGCATGTGTTGTGCATTATTTTTAATGTAAATTAGCCCTTTGTTTATAAGAATGAACTGGCGGTATTCATGTAACCTGTTGACGGTGATTTCATTACATGTTATCTTGGTAAGTAATGCACCCAAATAAGTCATGTAAAAACTGGTTTTTGCATATAAGCATATTTTAATCAAGTCTGTGCTTTTCTTTTGAGGTAATATTTATTTCCTGGCGAACTGATTTGCTGTACAAAAATCAGATTGATGTGAAGTCAGGCTTGCAATTGATATTTGTGTCAGTTTATAATTAGTGTCTTATGGACAACTCATTAGGTTTTTTTTAGGGTAAAGTGTTTTCCTAGCTTGTTTCTGCTATTGCATAGGCATATGCTTTAATATATTATCTTTATTCTAAGTAGTAGAAGTTAATAAAAACTTGCCTTTGTTCCTTTCATGCTCCTATGCATTTTGCAAATCTTGAGTTTGTGTCTTTGTATGTTGTGCTTAGCTTCCATCCCATCTTTATATATGAACTGGCAGATTGAATATCAAAGTTCTCCCAGGTTTTTCTTGGTGGCAGTTGTTGTTTAAACTATCCTTAGGTCCTGTATATATGGTATTCGTGTACCTAATTACATGTCCAGCTTATCTCATACTTGCACATTTTCTTATCATTTTATTCGTGTTGTGCATTTTGTCATGGACACATTATACCTTTCACATCCCAAAGCAGTTGGGTCATGCAACACTTCTGCCATCACATTATAATCTAAATTTGGATAATTAGTTTCTTATGCGGTGTGATCCTATCATATTTTCTCTTATCAAATCTTATCTCTTTATAGTAAGGAAAATCTTTCTTTTTGTTGTTAGTTTATAAGATTGCTTGTGTTTCAGACTGGTCATAGTGGAGAGCCAAACTCTATTCATATAGGCTTATCAGCACAGTCTTTATCTGTTTCATGCACATGTGAAAATAACGAGTCTATTGTTTCTTGCTTCCGTTTTGGTAGTGCCTTCCTATTCAAGTATCATTATAAAAAGGTGCGTGTTTTTTGTCACTTGTATTTTTCGTTTCTGGTAGATATAGTGATAAGCAATTATTCAATATCTACAAGCAACGGCTGCATCAAACTGTTAGCTTAGCTTGTGCTTTGTTATATGTGATTTATGTCAACATTTGTTGATTTTCCTTTGATTATGATAATGAATATTATTGGTTCAGTTGTAGACATCTGTGTGATTGACTTGGTTGTTAATGTTGAATTTTTTGTTTATGTGGATGGAAATTCAATATATTGGAGGTAGGTGTCAAAGGAGGTCGACATGTGGAGGAGATAAGAAAGATGAGGGGTGATGTTCCTGCATTTTTTAATGGTAGGCAATGAAAAGGAGGAAGGAGCAAGAGAGGTAGAGTAGGAAAGAAAAATTATGATGCTTGTTTTTGCTACTTCTACTATATGGGGGAGTATAGGGAGGGGAGTAGAGAGAGAAGAAGTGTTTGAGGCCATTAAACCAGGCGGTTGCAGTGTTGATTTGTCAAGAGGCACTTGGGTGCCTGAGGCCATTAAACCAGGCACCTATGCTGGTTGCCAAGGACAAGTGCTCACCTAGTCCAGTCCAAGCACCTAAGTGGGTGCCCGATACGAGGTGCTCACTTGGCCTAGTTGAGGCGCACTTTGGCCCATTCCACTTGAATCAAGCTTAAAATCGAGGTAGATGGAGAGAATTGGTTCTGTTGAACTTATCAATGTTGATGATTTGGTTCGATGCAACCAATTCATCAAATTAGCAACTCTCTCCCTCTCTCGTGATCATCCCAATCATGCGATTGATTGAAAATTTAGCTTCTTCGCTGTTGACCACCTATCGATGATTGTTGTCACTTTCGAAAGCTTTTATCTTAATGTGATTTTTTGTGGATAATGACCTTCGCCTTTGCCTCTAAGAACCCTTCTCATATTGTTATCACTCTTGTTGTTATTGTCATTGTGATTTTCGCGAATGACCACTTCTGTCTCCGTCAGTTATTCTCTAATCAGTTGCCGCTGCCAATGTGATTTTTTCTTATGACCACCTTAGACAGCTTTCTCCAATTGGTGCTATGTTGTTTTGATTTTCGTTGACAATCACCTTCGACAACTCTTCTTTGATCGCTTTCGCCTCCAACATCTCTTATTCAATCACCTATTGTTTCTCCTATGATCTTCATGGATGGCCACCTCTGCCTCCATCTCTCATAACTTATTCCGATGGTTCTCTGACCACTTGTCGTTGTCATGTGATCTTCGTTGATGAGCCTCTGCCTTCGATATCTTCTCGTTGTGATCTTCTTCGACTGTCTATTTTTCTGTGATGATCCTTTTTTAAATACACTCCTTCCAATTGAGTTAGTGATTTTCTTAAGTATATTATTCAACGCCTCGCTTCACTCGCACAAGTGCCAAGCACCTCAGACATTTTGAAACCTTAGCACTTTCAGTGCCTAACAACTTTGACAACACTGGGTGGCAGAAAGAAGTTAGATATTGGATTGGTATTCATCATTAGTTTAGCTATTTTAGGAACAATATAGGCTCCTATTTTGAGTTTATAGAAGAACCCTAATATATTTATGGTCTAGGTTAAATAAGTTATTTAGCTAATAGGAACCTTGTTTGGAGATTTTACATGTCACTTTTATTGTGATTTGGAGGATGATTAGATTATAATGACAATTTTGTTGGAAGACCTCTATGGGTAGCCATATATGAGAAGATGTAGGCCCAAGGTCTGATGCTTGTATGCTATTCCACTTTCTCTGCAATAAAGTGAATAGTTTAGCTATCTAGATAGTTGAGAGTTCTCTTCTCCATTTGAAGGAACCACTGTTAGGGGAATCACTTCTAACATCATTAATAG